TTTTTGTTTGTAAATTTTTGTATCATATAATTTGTCCGTGGTCTGAAGTGAATAAAATAATTCAGATAATTTATTTTGGTAAATGATTAGTTTTCTTATAAAAATCAATAAGGTCATGTGGTAATTGCATCTGATTTCAAACGTAAGCAGTTCTTTGGTTTTTAATACATTTATTGTTGCATGCTGTTTCAGAATTACTCGAAGAGCCCTCTTTTCCATGTTGAATATTTTTTCGGTATCCGATTTGCAGTTTTGTCCCCTTATAGTATTGCAGTAGTACATTGTTGACACAATATATGCATTAAAGTATAACATTTTCATATCATCTGTCAAAAGTTTTGTCTACGGGGATAAAAAACAAAACACTGTCTATCAATTTGAAGAAAATATAAATAAAAGGTTTTGCAACAAAGCCAGCAATTTAAAATTGGTCATGAAGTGTTAAGCTGATGCATGTGAATGTTTTGATATACTTGTATTTTTATTGACGACTCACAAAATGAATCGTGTCATTCGAAGAAAATCATTGTCTTATTCAAAATCAGATAATGTATGAATGAAGGAAAGGTGGCATTCAATGAACGCAACCACCACTGACACAGAGACAAGAGTCAGCGGCAAGAGAGTAGGAGGACCCAATATATTAGACTTGACTGCTTTGTAGCCAAATAATCAGAAGTGAGAGATGAAAGTAAACATTCCGTTCGTTAATTATATATGATTTCGTTTCCTTATTACAGCTTCTGGTGTAAAATAACTAGTTTGTTATACGCTTGGAAGAATTCCTGATGTAAAGAACAGAGTTTGATAGTCCAAGTGATATTGCAGTAATTAAACTTTACTGTATAATGAATAATAAAAGTATGTCCCTTAAAAGAAAACTTTGTTTTAAAAAAGACATATTTGAGAAAAACCATATAGAGTATATTTTTAGAAACGCGCTGCATTTAAGAAATGTAGAACCCACATAAATGACCGATAATTGTAAACAAGTTTGATATACAGCTAAGTCAAATGAAAACAGCACTGGAATGTATGTTTTCGAAACAGTTTGGTATTTAAAACCAAATATTTTACTTATTCAAATACTAGTACATTCAAGTATGTTTAGATTTTACACTTATCGAAGTCAGTTGTAAAAGGATGTCCATCATATATCGTTATCTTGACGACTGCGTTGATTATAATTTAAAGGTCTTTTAAATGGAAAACTACACATATATATTTTGTTTTGGTTTCATATAAGTACTTTATCCAAAACTATTTTTAAAATTATAATTATAGATTTGTCACACGTAATTGTATATGATTATTGGTGCGTTATATTGGGTGGTTTAAAAGGTAAGAAAATGTTAATGCAATATTGTAAGCAATACAACTTTAATAAAGTTAAATAATATTTTCACTACCATTACAAGAAGAAAGGTTTTGTGAGTAGGTTTTGATTTGCCTTGTTGTTTTTTTTCTTTTTCATTTTCTTCTTATATTCTTTCCTTTTTTAAAGGTGTTACCTTTTTTCACCAGATTTATATATATCATGTAGTATAAATACCGAATCACTTATCAAAACATTTTGAGAAATTAAATCATTAACTTGATAAAATCGTCTATGGAATTTTACAACTTTGCCATTATCAAACAACTATTTTCGATCCAAGTACACAAACAATAATATTTGAATGATAGATATTCAAAATAGTTCATAGTGTCATTGAAACATGAAGGTATGTACCAATAAGAAATTACAAAGTAATCAATTAAATTTTGCGAGACAATTCCGCTGACGCTAAATCATTACATTGGTTAAAGTTGTTTTAGTTGCTTTCTTTATGTGTTTTTGAATATCGTTTTTATGTATCATTTTGTCCTTGTATTTGTATATATATATATATATATATATATATATATATATATATATATATCTTGTATTTGTCTGTTTACAGTCCGATATACAATCCATTATCCCATATCATTCCTATATCATTCCATTTCATCATCTCATTATAACAACTAATTTCTCATATTTCATTTTGACATAATTTGCATGCCGGGCCTCCGTTTTTACAAACTTCCCGGAAAATCCACCTCACGCATGCGCACTTTGATATAAATATTTCTATTCGTTTGCGCAAGAAATTGTTGTCTTATTTATTTATTTATTTATCAAATATGATAAACAAGATCAACAAGGAAAGGCGGCGTTCAATGAACGCAATCCCCATATGACCCAGCAACAAGAACAATTGGCAAGGAGCCCAGGCGGACCCACAGGGGGCCCACACAGTGTTTGGATGGTATATACTGTTTGATAGTGACCTTAAAATGAGATTTTAGTCATAACTAAAATCTCATTTTAAGGTCACTATCAAACAGTATATACCATCCAAAAACTGTGTGGGCCCCCTGTGGGCGGACCCAAACAAAAACAGGACAGGGCAAAGACAGAGCACGGACAGGTTAATCATTAAATGAGAAATAATTTGTAACTGATTAGGAATTCAAAGAAAATAATAATAGGCCCACAAAGGGGACAGGAGACCGGGGGAAGGGGGGGGGTAATCAAAGAAACAAAAACTAGAGGCAATGGGGAAAGATACTTAGCGTATGTTTATGTCCTTACTGGCATAAACAGACAATTCATACATATGAAAAAGGAACCATACGACATTGGTGGCCAGTGTGGATTTTTATGTTTGAATTGGTTTTTGATGGTACGAATATATTGGTGACGAAACTGCGAACACAGAGGGTGACGTAGGGATTTCCCAACTACAGCCAATCAGAACGGCTTTTATATTTTTGGTTTACTTCCGGTGACCGGGTACTCCCGAGGAATTCCATCAAAACAAACCAAAGTTTTAACTATTATTCTTCTATTTATTTTAAAGTGCTCTAACATTTAATTAATTAAAGGTACCTATTTATATTTATATATCAACGTTGGATTATTCACTTCTTCGGACCATTTAGACGACAACAATATATTTGTGAACTTTGAACATTTGTAAACAAACGGTGTAAATTCTTTAAATTCAGTGTTTACATATTTAAGTGTCTTTTCAATTTAATAAGTATCAAGTGCCATTTCATAGTGATATTGTAAAATGTAGATCAGGGTTGATTTTTTCATTTATCTATTTTAACTGGTGTAAAATCTTGATCAAGATCTACATGTGAAAATCAATTTTTGTTTTGAACCAGATATATATACATGTATCTATATTATTATTTGATTTTGTATATTTTAGGTTAAATTCCACAAAGCCTTGTACTTCAGGCTTCTGTGACATTGATTTTATCCTGTTGCTGGCATTTTGAAGATTTATACAGTTCACAGACATGTAGACACAGCATTTAACTATCAGGTGGTTGGTGAGCTAACACTCTGTCTCTTTTATCTTGGTCTGAATTACTAGTATAAATTACACCTGTCCCTTTTCAATTTGAAATTACTTCCATCCAGTCTAGTATTGTCCATTTACTGTAATAAATCCTATATTACCCCAGATATTATATATCTTACAGCTGAATTATTTCATATCCTATCCCGATAACTTATTGTAGCTTAAAAGCAGGACTTGCTTGAACCAGAATTTTGCCTGAAGTAAGCATGCAGATTGAATAGTTTAGCATTTATTGTAGGAACAGATCATTGTAGTTGACTTGTGAGTAAATATAAAGTATACAAGTAGGTTTGAAATATTTATTCTTTAGTTAGAATAAATTGTTCAACCCGGGCAGTTAAAATCAATTATATTTAATATTCTGTAAACTTAAAATAACATTTCATTTGAAATACTGCGACAGTATCATGTAGCTGGTACATAGATTTGAAGTGAAATATTTATTCTTTAATTAGAATAAATTGTTCATTTTTAAATCCCGCTGATTTTATATTTTTATACACAGTTTGTGTAGCCTAATTAATTTGGCGTGAACGGTTTGACCCATTTTACAGAATTTTTTTTCTTACTGTCAAACCGTTACGCCTAATTTTAACTGTCATTTTTACGCACGGAAAATCTACCGGTAACACTATCGATAGTTTGGACTGATTTTTACTGCTTAAACCTGAAAGTAACTTCAATTACCTCTAAAGATCAATAGAATATAAATTTTAGTACTAACTTCTCCTAGAAAAAATAGTAGATTGTACCTGTCTTAACGCATACATGCGATTTATTTCAAATTTGTACTGTCTACTCTATCTTCGGCGGACATGTTATGACGTCATCGTAAAAAATCGATTCCGTGAAAGCTGGTAGTAGCTACCAGTGTGTCTAGCAGGTAAGTGTGGGTTACGCATGAAGATTAAATTAAACGAAATATCGGGGGAAATAAATCTATTCATTATTTTTTAATAAATGTGTGCATTATTAAATACTATTGAAAAGTATCATTGTATTTAACCTAAAATGCAATGGTCGCAAATAGGCTCTGTACAAGTACTGTTGTTTAATATTTTTTAATTATTTTAATACATATACTCAACATTTATCAATTGGTGGTTTGCCTTCTTGTTTACTGCTAATGACTGCCAAATGTCACTCTCGGATAAAATACTGACTTCATTTATACATGAATATTTATATGACAATTAAGAACGTAAAAGAAATATTGAAGGAAACTATTTGAAATACACTTCAAATTATTCAGTATTTGTACAAATAATATTTCAAGAGCTCTTTTTCACCGATTGCCGATATATAATACCATATTAAACCTATTGATAAAGTTAAATGTCTTCTTGACATACTTTATTAATTTACTAAAAAGGAACTTTATTGTGATCCAGCCATATGCTGTGTAACTATAAAGGAAGGGTCACATATTTTAATTGAAATAAATTTTAAAGAGGATATTAAAAAAAAGTCATTGAGAAGATCAGAATTTTCAAATGAACAGATTAAGAGACTTATAAATGTATAAGGTGTATGTCTTGTTGTTTCATACTGTTTTGGTGACACTTTTGTTTATGTCCCTTGTTGTTTTCTCGTCTATGGTAAGTTTCTTCCCTTTGCCCCTAGTTTTATTTCTTTATTTCGCCCCCTCCCTCGAATTTCCTATCCCCTTCTCCTGTGCCCGTTAACTTAGTGGTCCTGTTTCATACTGTTTTGGTGACACTTTTGTTTGTGTCCCTTGTTGTTTTTTCGTCTTTGGTAAGTATCTTCCCTTTGCCCCTAGTTTTATTTCTTTATTTCGCCCCCTCCCCGAATTTCCTATCCCCTTCCCCTGTGCTCGTTAACTTAGTGGTCCTATTAATCATTCATTTATTTTTTTTCTTTGATTTCCTTCTCAGTTACATTTTAGTGATAAGCCTGACCGTGCTCTCCCTTGCGCCCTTTCCCGTTTTAATTTAGGATCCTCCTGGGCTCCTTGCCAATGGTTCATGTTCCTGGGTCGTGTGGGGTTTGCGTTCATTGAACGCCGCCTTTCCTTGTTCATCTTGTTTATCATATTGTATACGTGTATACCGAACCGTAACAAACAGATAATGATTATCAATACAAGGTTCGGCAAGCAAGCAAAGAAATGTAAAGAAACAGAAAAAACTTATCCACATTCATGTATCCACCCTCCAATAAAAACCACCAAAAACGCCTGAAACTGCAAAATCGAAACATAAATACACAGGAGTGCCAAAGACGGCTCTGGTAGGTTCAAGTGCTCCCTTTCGCCGGTTTAAACAGAATTGATCACTTAAACATAATAATGTTGAAATTTTTAATCAACATCCACAGATGTGTACATAATATGGCGGTAATCATGGAACTTTCAATGTGACACATTCGAGGTGCCGTTCAACGGGAACTAGATAACATGGAATTTTTAATGGGTATCAGAGGTTTTGGTGCCTTTTGCGACAGTCGTTCCAACATTTCTCCCATCTGTCTTACATTGTTATGCTATTCAACATCTAAATAACGGTCACTAAATTTCCGCTTGCTGTGTTTTTATCATAAAACCCGTCAAATCTGTGCGACAATTGTATTTTACTGAGGACTGTCTGAAATTCCATTTTATAGTTTGAAATTTTAAGATTTTTTTTCAGAGTTTTAAAGTTATTTTTGGTTGTTTTGAACTTCTTCCCATACACAACCGTCCTCAATTTCTTTTAAAGATAATTTTTAAAACTAGAAATTGATATGGAGTGTAATATAAATTGAAATTCTTCTTTGCTTCATCATGTATAGTATAATTATAATTCATTAAGATGTACCTACAATTACATTGTATTTTCGTATGTGGGAAATCATGGCAGGGTTATAAAATAAAAAGGTAGTTCAGAAATTTCACCTAATGATCACAGATGTTAAAAAATCCAACTTAATAATATCTAATTTGACAATTTAAACGGACTTAAATGCAGTATGATCTGACATCGGACATCATAAACTATTTAATTTCTAAGTAAGGTTATCATAATTTCCTTTACACATTCTCTTTTTAATGCTGAAATATTTGTGTGTGAATAAAAGAGTTATTCCTGCAATAATTCATATAAATAACATAAACAAATTGTATAATAAAGCTTGGCAAATACAATCGATTGCCGCCGATACCTGTGTTACACCATGGATTTTACCAGTGTTTACAATTTTACCATGACACCGCTTTCCAATATGGCCGCTTTCAATAATTTTCAACGATTAAAAAAATTAAAGTGGAATATTTAGACTTCTGTTCGACTTTGAAGTATGATAATTTGGAACCTTGCATAAAAAACGATTTTCTTTCAGGTAATGTAGACCGTTTCTTTGAAACTTTTCTAGTTTTCGCTCCCAACAACTTTTAATTGGGAAGCGTCCGTGCATAAAAATGCAGTTCGTGGTTGGACTTGGAAAAAGACAGCGCCCGTCCAAAATTATCTCGGTGTCTCTTTGACAAGTCTAATAAGTTGGACTACAGTTTGTGAGAACCGACACCAAACTTCTTCTTCATTTTCAAATAGTGAAGTGTTTTGTGTAAGTGGTAATTTATCTTCTTATATAGAATTATTTTATATTTACAAGAATCCAACATATATACAAATAGCAAATCAGTTGTTGCTTCTTTATCACAGCTGAAAAGTTGATAATTTGGGTTCTACTCATTTAGTCATTATAGAAAGTCTGTTGATAGGTATATTATTTTACTTTATGAACTGAAAATTAAACATTTTGCATTGATATAATTGTCTAAATCAGAAGAAAGGAAACTTTACACATTTATTTATCCCTTTTAGCTTTGTGTGTACTTGTATTAAGTTGAGTCTGTGCCTGAGCAGGTAAATCTAAAGATAATCTATGAAAGTTAGATCTTTGGGTTATATTGTATAGAGTACTGGACTGAACATTGTTTGCAATACAGAATTCCTGCTATTATTTAACAAGCCTGTGTGTCCCTTGCAATTACCATAAATTAGTTGAAATTTATACACTATAGCAAGTAACTGAACAAGTGTCTGTGCATTTTACAATATAATTTTATAGACTTGTTACCTGTAGCTTGACAATCTTAGGTGTCTATAATAAGTTATTTATTTAGTAAGTTAAGCACTGAATATTATTCAGTTGAATTTAATACTGCTTTATAATAGAGACTGAATATCAGTGTTATTAGATCTATTGTTTTACAAACTTTGATCTAATTTACTGACTGTATCTGGTACATATATTATTCAGGTGACCTTGAAATTTTGTGTAATGTATGGTGCACTGTGTGGGTCATAATTTGAATAAAGTTGATTAATTATTTTCAAGTCTTTGTGTTTTTTCTCTTGAAATAAAATTGTTTTATTTCTATTGTTTGTTTTTTATTACATCTATATAGACCTAAGCTGGTTACTGATGTAAATCATTTTTTTAGTGTATGGTGTACAATTTGTGCCATTTGAAATCCTGAATTTTAAGTCACGTTTATTTATTTTTTGGTCCAATCCATTTTTTAGCTCACCTGTCACAAAGTGACAGGGTGAGCTTTTGTGATCGCTTTTCGTCCGTCGTCCGTCCGTAAACTTTTACTTTAAATGACATCTCCTCATAAACCACAAGGTCAATTTCATCCATACTTCACAGGAATGTTCCTTTGGTGGTCACCTTTATAAATTGTTCAAAGATTTTAATTCCATGCAGAACTCTGGTTGCCATGGCAACCGAAAGAAAAAACTTAAAATATCTTCTTTTAAAAAACCCTAAGAGCTAGAGCTTAGATATTTGGCATGAAACATCTTCTAGTGAGTGTCTACCAAGTTTGTCAAATAAAAGCCCTGGGGTCAAAATTGGCCCCGCCCCAGGGGGTCATTGATTTTCCCTATATGTATTTAGTAAAAACTTAAAAAATCTTCTTTAAAAGAACTCAAAGAGCTAGAGCTAAGATATTTAGCATGAAAC